TCGAAACCATTTTCGGGGAGATAAAAGAGATTGTAGTCACTTTTGAGCTGTTTAATTGTTTTACATAAAAGCAAAACAATCATGAATTTGTTTTGGATCATCTTGCTTGCTTTCAGTGGTGATTTAATAATGCTTTTCTCTTCAAACCCTTTTGGCCATGCGATATTAGCCAGAAAAGACTATAAATGAAGCTTGATGTCCCTTGCTGCCGCTTATCGCACTTCTCTATTCCGAGCAAGTCTAGTCTGTTCATCGATAAGAGTATGTCGTTATTATTATGACAATGTTTACTTTGAAATGCTTGATCGAAATGAGGTTGAAATTGACTACAAAACAGATTGAACGAAAACTCTTAGTAAAACCTCTTAAGCATGTAAATGACATTTTAAATTTTTTGACACGTGGCAGAAGGTTGGCACTCCTCCCTGTAAAGCTGAGACCAAATATGGTACAAGGATGGAAGCAATACTCTTCTTTGAAAAAATGGGTCCAGATAACGGAAAAGTACCGAAATATCTTGCCGCCAGTGGCGGTCGCAGGATTTCGGACCGAGGGAGGCGCGACAAAAATTTTTTTCAAATGAAGGTGCGTGGCGTTAGCCACGCACTCCGAAGGAATTATTGGGGTGCTTCTCTGAATTTTTGCGGGTCCCCAACCCCTAGAATCTGAAAAAAAGCTTTATAAAAAAATTTTTTTTATAAAGCTAATTTGAATTTTTAAGAAATTTTAAAAATTATTTCAATTATTTACATAAATAAACAAGTCGTTTGCACATTTTTATAACCCATATAGGTAAGTTTCAAAAATTTCGCGACCCATTCTCGGGGGGGGGGGGCGCGCGCTCCCCCCCGCCTTCATTTGAAAAAAATTTTTGTCGCGCCCCCATCGGTCCGCCACTGCTTGCCGCCTCAGTTTATAAGCATTTTCTTCCCTCGAAACCAGGCTCTATGTGCTTTTCTGATTTTGGGGGCAGAAGTAGGATTCAAAAAGGTAAAGGCGGGCCAAAGTGAATTTATAACAACTTTAGGTAAATTTACCGCCTTCGTCATTTCCGAGTGTGATTATAGAATTCTCAGCATGCTCACTTACCCCCGGATTAGTGCCATCTGAGCCTCGTAGCTTCAGCTTTGAAAAAGATGAAATCAATAAAAGTAATGGAAATTCTCAAAAACTTTGCAGTGAGCGTGCTCACATACAACTTTGTGCAGTGTCAGCCGTGTAGCTCTAATTTTACAAAAAATAGAAAAATCGACAAAAATAATAGGTTCTTCTAAGAACACTTATTACAATCGTAATCGGCATGCTCGCTTTCTCCCATGTGCCAAATCCCAGTTCCTGGCTTAAACTTTGCAGAAAATCGATAAAGCCAGTGAAGGTAAGTGACAAGTTGTAAAATAAGAATGTGCTCGAGAGCAGCATGCTCAATTACCTGCCTGTACCAATCCCCAACGCCATAGTTCAAACATTGCAAAAAATCAATTAAACCAATAGAAGTAAGGGGTATTTTCTGAAATGTTATGATATTCGTAATCAGCATGTTCCCTCACCCCCGTATGCCAACTCCCAGTCACTTAGTTCAAAATCTGCAGAAAAATCGATAGAATGATAAAAGTAATGGGAGTTTATAAAAATGGTTATCATATTCGTAATCAGCATGCTCGATTACCCTCGTGTGCCAACTCCCAACCCCGTAGCTTGAACTTTGCAAAAAAAATCGATAAAATGATCAAAATAACCGATAATTCTAAAAACTAATACTGTATTCGTAATCAGCATGCTCGATTACCTCCGTGTGCCAACTCCCAGCCCCGTAGCTTGAACTTTGTCAAAAAGTCGATAAAATAAAATAACTGATAATTCTAAAAACTAATACTGTATTCGTAATCAGCATGCTCGATTACCTCCGTGTGCCAACTCCCAGCCCCGTAGCCTGAACTTTGCAAAAATTGATAAAATGATAAAAATAACTGATAATTCTAAAAACTAATACTGTATTCGTAATCAGCATGCTCGATTACCTCCGTGTGCCAACTCCCAGCCCCGTAGCTTGAACTTTGTCAAAAAGTCGATAAAATAAAATAACTGATAATTCTAAAAACTAATACTGTATTCGTAATCAGCTTGCTCGATTACCCCCGTGTGCCAACTTCCAGCCCCGTGGCTTGAACTTTGCCAAAAAATTGATAAAATGATAAAAGTAATGGGCATTTTTGAAAATGGTTATCATATTCGTAATCAGCATGTTCGATTACCCCCCTGTGCCAACTCCCAGCCCCGTAGTTCAAAATTTACAAATAATCGATAAATTTGGTAGAAGTAATAACAAGCTTCCATGCTGGAAAATGACAAACACGAAAACACCATCGAGGACCTACAGACAGCATCAACAAGCATGCTTATCCACCAGCGTACAGACAAGCCACCAGTGTACAGACAAAATCCCATTCGGTTTTATATATATAGAAGGATAGAAGGATATTGTATTCGTAATCAGCATGTTCGCTTACCCCCTGTGCCAACTCTCAGCGGCGTAGCTCGAACTTTGCAAAAAATCGATAAAATGATAAAAGTAATTGATAATTCTAAAAGCTAATACTGTATTCGTAATCAGCATGTTCGCTTACCCCCTGTGCCAACTCTCAGCGGCGTAGCTCGAACTTTGCAAAAAATCGATAAAATGATAAAAGTAATTGATAATTCTAAAAGCTAATATTGTATTCGTAATCAGCATGTTCGCTTACCCCTTTGTGCCAACTCCCAGCCCCGTAGTTCAAAATTTGCAAACAAATTGATAAAATGATAAAAGTAACTGATAATTCTAAAAACTAATATTGTATTCGTAATCAGCATGTTCGCTTACCCCTTTGTGCTGACTTCCAGCCCCGTAGTTCAAAATTTGCAAACGAATTGATAGAATGATAAAAGTAATAGGCATTTTTGAAAATGGTTATCATATTCGTAGTGAGCATGTTCGCTTACCCCCCTTTGCCAACTCCCAGCCCCGTAGTTCAAATTGCAAACAAATTGATGAAATCATAAAAGTAACTGGAGTGGTAGTAATTTGGTCGAAACCATCATGTTAACTGTGTTTTCATGATACCAGCTAACCAGCAGCTTCACATCATTTTCCCAACGAAACCACGAATTAACCAATAGGAAACCTCAAAATGCTATCTTGCAAAGCAAAGTCATTGGAGAAGATCGAAACTCCAACCATTCTCATGCTTGTCGGCAATCATTGCACTTTACCAAATTTGCAGTTCGGTCTCCAGCCTTGCACCTTCCTATAACCTTATCTAAGCTGTAAACAAGTAAGCTTTCTCATAGTACGTTGCAGAATGATCTCCCTCACTCTTCTTAACTTGCAAAACCAACACATCATTGTTTGAAACGAAAAAGTGGTCGGGGGTACTTTTTCATTTTAAACTATGATGTGGTGGTTTCACGTCTGCGTCTCATGAAATGAAGTGCTGTTTTCATTACTCTATCTGATAAGGGAACAATGGTGTTAACCTGCTGTTTAACTCATAGTTTGGTTTAGAATGAAACAAGCATGAAACAGTTATGGTTTTCTGCTAGTTCTTGCCTGTTTCATGATTTTGTACGACCGACTGAACTGAGTGGCCGTGAAAAGATGATCATGCTTACCACGATGTAACCATGATTGAACTATCACATCATTCGTTGGTTTCGACCAAATTACTACCACTCCTGATAATTCTAAGAACTAATATTGTATTCGTAATCAGCATGTTCGCTTACCCCCTGTGCCAACTCTCAGCGGCGTAGCTCTAACTTTGCAAAAAAATCGATAAAATGATGAAAGTAATAGGCATTTTTCAAAATGGTTATCATATTCGTAATCAGCATGTTCGCTTACCCCCCTGTGCCAACTCCCAGCCCCGTAGTTCAAAATTTGCAAGTAATCGATAGATTTGGTAGAAGCAGTAACAAGTTTCCATACTGGAAAACAACAGACGCGAAAACACCATCGAGGACATACAGATGGAGGGCAAGCGTTAGGCGACAAAACGTGCAAAACGCCTGCAACGTAAATCCCGTAACTCAAGACTATGCACCATTTTTTCATTGGCGTCGGGTAATGTATCGGCCCCGACCCCCACCCCCCTGTTTTTGGCGGAGAAGACGTTTTGCACGGAGAGTTCTTTGGGGTCAAAAAATTGGGTTTGTCGCCTAACGCCCTACACCCCATACAGATAGCATCCACCATTGTACAGACAAGTACACCATTCGGTTTTATATATATAGAAGGATATTGTATTCGTAGTCAGCATGTTCGCTTACCCCCCTTTGCCAACTCCAAGCCCCGTAGTCCAAAATTTGCAAACACATTGATAAAATGACAAGAGTAACTGATAATTCTAAAAACTAATATTGTAATTCATAATCAGCATGTTCGCGTACCTCCCTGTGCCAACTTCCAGCCCCGTAGTTCAGAATTTGCAAACAAACTGATGGAAATAAAAGTAATGGGCATTTTTTAAAATGGTTATCATATTCGTAATGAGCATTTTCGCTTACCCCCCTGTGCCAACTCCCAGCCCCGTAGTTCAAAATTTGCAAGTAATCGATAAATTTGGTAGAAGCAGTAACAAGTTTCCATACCGGAAAACGACAGACACGAAAACACCATCGACCAGAAAAACACTATCGAGGACGTACAGACAGCATCCACCATTGTACAGACAAGTACACCATTCGGTTTTATATATATAGAAGGATCAGCAAGCCTAGTTACCCCCTACGCCCACACCCACGCCGTAAATCAATCTTTGCAAAAAAAAATCATCGGTTCAAAAAAATATTTTCTGATCATTTGTAATCACATACACACATGAATAGAAGACAAACGAACATTCAACTTTATATATAAGAATGTAAGATAATATAAGATGTAATGTAAGATCTTAAGATTTTGAGACCTAGTCTTGGGAGGAATTACTACTTTCGATCCATCACTAACATATTAACTCTTACAGATATGGACCACACCGAAAATTCTTATTCTCATCCTCTCCTTATGGTCACTATCTGCTTTGATTTCAACTGCCGCTGTCGTCGCGTATGCTGACTCGATCACATTCATTTGGATAAAAAACAACAGCATACTGCAGATTGTTGTCGGGGAGTTTGGTAATGTTCGTAAGCCTAGTCAAAATATAATAGATGCTTTGCAAATTGTAACCTTTTCAGTACACCTCCCGCCAAAGCCTCGCTGTTAATGCTGTCACAGTCACTATTAGCATAATCTCGTATACCTACTGCCATGTAAAGATCAAAAAGCTAGAACAACGACAAGCGGTATGTCTTGACGCACATAACCATGCATTTCTTTTCCGATAATTCTACCACACCGTCAGTTTCCCTCATTCAATGAGGCCATGCAGGACGAGATTAACTCTTCGAGTACCTTGAAAAAATAAGCCGTACAATTTTGCGAAGCCAAGGAAGGACACACTATAAAATGTCGGTTGTAGGCTAATATTTCTCACAAACCATTTGTCAAGGGCATTATTTAATACTCGAAATTGTGAGAGTTTGTAGTATGTGACCAGTGAATCGTTTCATGATTTCGTGGAGTTTTTATTCTTATCGTCGTTTTTTGATGAAGCGATTAAATTATATCAAAACAGCTATACCATTCCAAAGAGAAAATCTTACTTTGCAAAAACTTTTGAAGCAAACGATGCCCTTTGTTTCATGGCATCTCGAAGTAAAGTTTTGAGAGGCAGACACTGGCAATTTTGGCATGCACACGTTCCGCACATGGTCCATATCCAATTGGAGAATTCTTCACACAAATAGGTGGAATGACTAGTAGCAAGCAAGACTGGTATACTATCAAATTCGCAACATGTCAGTATGCTAAGAACTGTATGAATGAGGTCTCAATAGTTGCTGTTTACAGCTGCCGTGTGTTTTGCGCATTTATTCGCGGCGGAATTTCTCGGTTCTCCTGTCGGACCGAGACAATTGGTTGGCTTCCTCTAACAATAAGTGGTGTGAACGTTCAAGTACAAGTCTGACCAACATCTTATGCTTACTCCAGAATTTCTTGGTCGGTAAAATTCTTTGCCTACCAAGCAAAGCATCTGCATATGATAAAAGCGTGCGCTATCCTTATCAGTAGTATCTCGCTCAACATGTAGGCTTCTTTTATGCGCACCCAGGGCCCGTCACGAGTCGGTTGCTAAGATTTCGGAAAGCGGAATCCCCCTGACTTTTGGAAGTTTTACGAAGTTCGCTTTGACCTACCTACTTAAAGGCAGTGTCCAAGCAAAAAGTCAATTTTGAGATTTTGTGCTCACCCGGGCCTATTCGCCATGCTGAATCCGATAAACCACAATGGAGAGCGCGAAAACGCCAAAAAAAGGCCCTAACGCAGGAGGGAAATCGCATGTAGGCGGTGCCTTTCTCACCCGACGTCACCCCCTCCCCCAGGCTTTAGGAGCGATCTTCTCGGTTCCGGTTTTATGTCATGGGTCTCGCAGTTGGGTGGTGGTGATGTTAGTGCGGTTAGCGGAAGCGAGAGGATCGCTCCTGAAGCTGGGAAAGGACGCCACTATGTGAACAGCCCCGCCCACCTGCAATTTCCCTCCTCCGTTAAACCCTTTTTTCGCCGTTTTCGCGCTCTCCAGTGTTGATTTTCGGATTCAGCACAACGAATAGGCCCAAGTAAGCACTTAATCTCAATCGACTTTTTGCTTGGACACTGCGTTTAAGGAAGGTGAAAACAATAGAGATTTACTAGTTTGAAAGAAAAAGCGTGAGATAAGAGTAAAAATTCAAATTGGAGTTGAATACTACGCATCCACAAGAGTTTGGCTTGGAGCGCGATATCTAAAAAAGCGATTTGTGGAGAAATTAAGGCAAAAAACAAAGCAAAGGCAATGATATGAAAATGTCTTCATGCTCAGGGATAGATTTTGGACCGCGGAATCCGTCCGTGATAGAAAAATGCGAAATTTACGTGAAGTGACGGAAATATATGCTCCAGACGATCTCAGATCGTCTGGTGACCGTCTAGAGACGGAAGACGGACTAGTTTTGGAAAAGGTAATACTTCACATAAGTTTTTGAACCTTTTGCATAATCCTTCTGCAATAATTTCCTAACAAGGGAAGTCACTTAATTTAGGTCGGCCTTTTGAAATGAGACACATATATTTAGAATCAGTTCAGAACGTTGATTCCAAATATGCTGTCCTTAGCTGCGAAGCGTTCCTCTGAAGCGAGTTATGAGCTTTTTAATATGTGTAATTGACATATAACTGGATATGGAAAGAAGGCCTTTAGATGAAAATCTGCCTTAAAAAGTGGTGGGGAATCGAAGTAACATCAAACTGAGTCAATTGGCTTTGATAGGGTGTTGTATGCATTTGAACTATTACCTGGATGACGATACCGTAGCATGCCTAAGTCGGTCAGCACGCAAACTTTGCTTAGGAAAAAGCTCATAACTCGCTGCAGAGGAACGCTTCGCAGCTAAGGACAGCATATTTGGAATCAGCGTTCCGAGCTGATTCTACATATATGTGTCTCATTTCAAAAGGCCGACCTAAGTTAAAGTCAGCGTCCAGGCAGATTCTCGACTTCTATATTTTTTATGTTATCCAGGCCTTTCCATGGCGCTGATTCCGAATATGAAACTCAGAAAGCGTGAATTTCTCAGAAAACCACCTTCTGGGGCTATTTTGGGAAAACCCGGACGAGTGCTTCTGATGTTATCCTTGTCGAAAGCAAGTATTAACAGGTAAACGCTGTAAGTTCGACTGTGTTGGTCATGTGAAAACACGTCAAGGCTGAGGAGGTTTCGTTCATAAGGGTAGGCCGTCCGAGGGAAGTGGGCGTGGTCGTCGAGCTCGGTTCTGCCTGGACGCTGCCCTTAAGTGACTTCCCTTGTTGAGTATACAGCTCAATTTTGGTGTCATATGATTCTATGTGCGCTTAAACAAGCAATTTGTTTATTTCAGCCTTGCTTTTAAATCGCGCGCACTTTTCGCCATAAACGATAGAGCATGTCAATCGTGTGATAACCTGTCCGAAAAGCTTGTGTTCCACTAAATGGCGCTCATTATTCTCGATGCTCGGCCCCGACTGGTCAAGAACGACATCTCCTTTGCTTTTTGCTTCAAAAACGAAGTCGAGCCTGCTTCCAGACGATCTGTGCCGGGTCCTGTGCGCACCACAGTTCGGAAAACAGTTCTTTCTTATCAATCATAACAGTTCCGCGTGGAGCACCACGCATGATTTTCGTATATGGATCGAAAGATGCAGGTGCAGAAATCGCTTATTTTTGCCCCTCAAGTATTTTATCTTGAGAAGTCATAGAAGAAAAGGATACTGATTTGCTCCAAAAACGAACAACAGCTCTTGTACAACAAGATCGCCTCTTTCGAGTGCTGCAGCCACTTTGACGTAAATTAGCCGCTTCACCAAGAAAAGACAATAAAAAATACCACATTAGCAGGCCTATCCTATTAAAAACCTCGTCGACTACACAGGAAAATGCAGTTCCCCTTGAAAAGCAAGATTGCAATCGCAACTACAAACTGAGCTATTGATCACCTTAGCAGTGGTAACTTTAGTAAGTGCAAACCATGTATGCCAACTGTACTGCCATACTTTTTACATTAGTACTGCAACTAATAACCAAGTCTCGAGCTGGCCCTAATCTTCAAAAGCCGCACAGGCCTGATATGGTGATAGCTCATCAGTATCTACCAGTGCGGTCCTAGGATTTCCGTCCGGGGAGGAGGGGGGGGGGGGGAGCAAGAATTTTCTCAATGAAGGTGCGTGGCGTAAACCACGCACTCCGAAAAATTTTAAGGGTGCCAACTATAAGGCTATTTTGAATTTTTGAAAAATTTTAAAATAGTTTTAATGGTTTACAAAATAAACAAGTCACTTGCACATTTTTATAACCCATGTAAGTGAATTTCAAAAATCTCCCCCCTCCCCCCTCGGTCCGCCCTGGTATCTACTGGCCCGCAAGCCGTTATTATAATGTCGCTACAGAATTTCTTGTGTAGTACGTCCGTCACAGAGTAAGATGATATCCTGTTCAACCTCTTATGGTTGATGACATGTGGAGGTGAGCACGTAGGAGAAACGGCAGGTCTTTGTGTGTAGGGTAAGGAGCACCTAGACGGGCTCGAAAAATCAAAATTGTCTACTCCTCTAGGCGCTCACCGCAAGCAATGCCATGGCGATGATAATTATGACTAGCCGTCACCATCTCATAGCAGGAGCCTGATACAATAGCGCGAAAGACATTGGAAGCATTTTAGATAGCAACAAAAACTCCAAATATATATCACAAGAATGCTTTGCTGTGACGATCGATTGAGCACCGTCTCAGACAATCGAAGGCATGCCTCCGGAGGGCAAATGCCGGGGGTCTGCCGCTCGTGCTCCGGAGCCCTCCCTGCTAACTCATTTTGGTGCTCCGGGGGCTCCTCCAAATCTGGCGCACCCCCGGAGCAGAGATTTGCGAGCCCCGGGGAGGAGTCCCATTTGCCTTCTTGTGACGTCACGCCCCCGGAGCACCAAAATGGGTTAAAAGGGAAGGATCCGGAGCAGCGGGGCAGACCCCGAGACCCTCCCGCTTTCGCTCCGGAGGTATGCCGTCGAATGTCTGAGGTACCAAGCCCTCTGTGGCTCTCGACCTACAAGTCTGGGTCAGGTCATCTGTGCTGTATAGTTAACACGTTTCGGATCGCAAAATCGCGCGCGGCTAAAAAGAGGGTACTTTCAGCCGTTAGCCATCAAAGAGACCTTATTTCCCAAACTGTGTGCTACATTTGTAATCAGCACGTCAGATAAGATCAAAAGTTCTGAATGAATTTGAGGTGTTTGAATTTTGTCGCTTGAGAAGGACTCCTGTGTTTTCTTGAAAGATTAGAACAGAAACTAAGTTTTAATTATATTCAAAAGTATCTATGTTGTACACTGTACTCGTCACTATTGAAATTACGGTTTTTCTAATTGAAATTGAAGCAAAGAAAAGTCGCGACGTCGCATGCGTCGTTCGCGTTGCCGCATTCGCTGCAACTGTTGTTTGATTTGTCCTCATATCTCCTAAGTAAATATCGGCGGCACAGCTCTACGGAGTTATTTGAAAAGTAGAAGCCTAGGACTTTGACTTGATAACCTTGGAAAAAAAACCTCTTGTGAATGTTAAAAGATCCTTCAAAGCCGCGTGCTGCACCATATGCAGCACCGGTCCGAAACCTGTTAAGTGTATAGCAGTGGCGCTCCCAGGATTTCCGTACGGTGGGGGGGGGGGAAGAATTTTTGTTT